CATACTGCAGGGCGTGGATTGGGTATCGGTTTGGAGGTAGAGAAAACGATCATGATTGCAATGCATATGAATAAAACACACATTGGCGCCACTGTGGAGTTTATGAAAAAGAAATTCGAGAAAAATTTGGTCTCCTCATTTGATTCCATGTTTGCTTAACTCCTTTAAAACAAGTATAAAATCTTCCTTACATAAAGGATTATGATTTTCCCCCTTTTGGGTATATCTGTTACTGTTGAAATGTTTCAGCCAAAGAATATTGATTTTCATACCTTTTAAGGAAATATTTTAATTGATTAAGGACCAGCAAATAAATAGGGACAATTGAACACATGCAGATTTATTACATTTGTACTATTTCCATTTTGTCCCGTATGTCGGAGGTCCTCAAATACCGTCAATTCCATATCCGAGGGTGGATTATCGTCAATAAAGTATATATCACATATAATTGCACACTATATTGTATTTATTCATTCATCGACGTAGAATTTGAAGGAAATAATACTTCTGGTAGAGGTAACCATACCAAGTTAAAGGACCTATGGATACTCAAAGTGTGTACGTTAAGTCAGATAAGGAAACTTCAATGTGCTAGTAGGTTGTTCAAACTTTTTTTAAAAAAAAATTGTGATAAAGCAAATTTTTAATTTTTTTTTTAATATGTGATACATGTAAATTTGGAAATCAATGCTGCTTATTCATTTATGTTCAAAATACTCTATATTCGTCCATCATCGTCTGTTGTGCGTCAGTTGTAAAATTCTGAAAATTTTCGACTTCTTATCAGGAACCCCTGAACCAAATTCAACCAATTTTCGAATGTAACATTTTTGGATTAAAGGGGGAAATTACGGCTTTCATGGCCTCTGTCTCACTTAGGACTGACGGCTGTGCACAAAACTATAAAAACTAAAAAAAAAAATAAATCTAAAAAAAAAAATCTTCGTATTTAGTACCTTTGGATCTAAAACGGTCATACAATTGGCATGATTACTAGTATACTAGTAAGCAATGAACCCAGAGTCCACCAAATTCATAAAATTCATGGCCACTGGGTTCAAGCTCAATGGTGGGGCAAAGTTGATCAAATATTGTAAATGCATTTTACCTCTCAAATTGTCCTTCTCATGGCCATGGATATCTAGAAGTCAAACTGTTGGCATGATTCTAATTAGTACTCATATCTTCACAAAATAGTGAAATGCATGACCCCTGGTTTAGGATAGAAGATGGTCATGACGATGCTTTACATCTTTGAAAATCTTCTCTGCTCTTGAAATTTCTGCGGCAAAATGTTAACATAATACAGTCTAAAATTATAAAATTGGATCCAGCTATCAGGCCCTAGGGTGGTGCTCAGTTGGTCATATGCTGAAAATAAATTTAATTTACAATTTTGAAAACCATATTTACTCATGGACACCTTGCAGGCGAACTGTTTGCATGATTATAATCAACTTGCAGAATTCATCATCCTCTGACCCATGGTTCAGGCCTAGGCAGGCAAAGCTGCTCAATATTGAAATCTATTACATCTGAAATTCTTTTTCTTTCTTTTCTGTAGGACATCTAGTAAACGTATATTATTACCATGAGAACTTAATCCCAAATCAAAATTGCAAATTTCAGGTCCCCTGGATCAAAGGCTCAGTTCCCAGGGTGGGGCTTAAATGGTTATATATTAATGGGTACAACTTTGAAAATCTGAGTCCAGCATTCGAACCCAGGGTGGGGCTAAGTTGGTCATGTACTTCAAATACATTACATATTGGAAATCTTCAATATTCATGGAAATCTGGTAGACAAACGAATGCTATCTTCAGGAGGCATCAAATTTATAATTTTGGTGAAGGGTTAAGTCAATAAGTAGAGAAGAAATTTAAAGTTCTAAATTTTTTTTTTAAATATATTACTTAGTATTATTCTTTTTTAACTTAATACATATTACAAACATTCAAACAGAAAAAAATCGTATGGTATGACGCTTCTTTGGTGCTTGATTTTTAAAACACAGACATTATATATATTATAGATAGAGCACACAAAGAACGAATTACGTCACTTCTTTTTTATTCTTAACTTAAAGCTAAATGTCAAAAATTCCTAAACTTCAAAGTTCATCAGATTTCCTACAAATTTAAATGTAGATGTTTTTTTTTCAGTAAATTTTTTTAAGATATCTAACTCTTAAGTCTTTCGGTAGAGACAAATCTAAACAAAGTGAAATTCATCTTCTATGCTGATCTTTAGAAAGTTCACAGAATCTTTGTTCCTTTTATACAATACTTCTATGTCGTCCGCTTTCAGTTGCAAGAATATGTCAAGGATATACGCAACGAAGTTTTGAACTTTATTTTTCTTATTTTCTGTAATTAAGAATTCAAATAAGTGTTTTACTCTTATGGTGCTGTATACCTCCTCGAAAAAAAAATTTTGAGGAAATTTCAGCTAAAATAATACATTTGGTAATTTTTGTATATTATTTTCTGAAAACAGAAGAATTTTCATCATTTGATATCTTTTCAAAATCTCTGGTACGCGTAATGTATGCTGATCTTTTTTGTCTATAAGAACATCTGATGCTCCTATGATGTTAAACTGATAATATCCTGAAAATAATCATGCAGTAGATTACAATTTTGTGAAGTATTTTGCGTATGTCCTTAAGACATTGTTATTCTGCTCATTTGAAGAGGAAGTATTGATTTTGACAAATAGAAACTGTAATTAAGGATAGATGATCTACACTATGCTTGTAAAAATACATTTGATAAACAATTAATTTCAGCCAAAAGATGTTATATGAATTTATCTGTTATTTCTTGCTTGACAACAGAAAAATATTTATTACTCATTATGTTGTCTTGTTCAAACCAAATAAATCCAAGTCAACTTTCAGAAAGTTTTTCTTCGATATTTACAACCCAAATTTTAGATTGCTTACTAGGATATTCACATTCACCATATGAATATTTATAACACGTTTTCAGGATATAATTATCAGTTTTTAACAGTTGAATCAAAATTGAAAAGCAAAAAAACAGACAAACAGACAGACAGGACAAAAACAATATACCGCTGGGATCTTTCGATCCCGGGGCATAACAATCTTCTCTATTGGAAGTTTTCCAGTTTCAAAATAGATGTATGTTATAGTAGTATTTGTGTTCTTACTAACTCCCAAAACATATAATAGTTTTTCAATATCACTAAAGTTGTGATTTCTCCATTGTTCACATTCATAGTTCATTATACTTGCAATATGATTGATTGTTGCAGTTTTAAGTCCTTTGCAACCCAGCTCGAGGCGGCATTCTCGGGCTGATTTTCGATACTTGCGAACCGAATTAAATGCTGAATTCACAACTTATCAATAGTACAATGCCTTTAGTACTCATCAGCATCGTTTATATGGGTTTGTTATGAAATATACAATCTTGTGAAAACATTTATCAGACGGTCGAGTTTTCTTTACATTTCGTCCATTTTGAAATCTTGTAAGACCAAATCGAAATGTGGAGTGATATTTTCTTTTCATCGATATTGGTGAGTACTAGAAGCATTGTGCTACTGATAAATTGTAAGTTCGGCATTTAATTCAGTTTGCAAGTATCGAAAATCAGCTCCGGTCGGAGACGGTGAAATTTCCAGTTTTCGTAATGGCGCCGGTTCTGACGTTTTCCTGGCACGTAAAATATCAAAATCGTGAAAAAAGCCTGGAAAACGTCAGATATTTCGGACTACCCCTTCACGAACCCACGAACCCCCGATTTCGGAGCGGGCGCTTACTGAGCTACATATGTGTCGAAAAGAGAAAACATTGTCTCAATATTTAATACACGTCTGATTTTCGATTTTAAGGAAAAAATGACAGTAATTTTTCTACCTTTGTCAGCTGTTAATGTGCATCATTAAATTTCCCATTATAATTCAGATTAAACCAACATATATAATTGACATTTCTCTTCATTGCCTATTTTGCCACATTTCTAAAAGCGACTTCTCTTTAGGGTATATTTGATGGAGGCTTCATTTAGAGGAATAGTCATATAAAATATTGAATTTTCTTTGAAGCTCAACAACCAATTCTTCAAAAAATATATATAACATACGAACAACTTAACCCAATCGATGTACCCTGGGAACATGAATTTCACAATTTTGGTAAAGGGTTGAGTACTCATTATACTCGTGCAGATTGCCAGGTAGTTGTCCCTGTGTAAAGAGAGAAGCGTGTGAAAATATAATGCATTTTCAAAATAGGAGCGACTAAACCCAGCCCAGGGCCTTTTTACAAAAAGTCGTAAAGCGTAAGTCGCAAGTCTTTAAATGTGCCGATCGTACGACATGTCGTAAGACCATTTTATGAAACTTGTCGTAATCTCAAGTCCAAAATCTGTGAAAAACGGTCGTATATCGAAGTTCAGTCGTACGACATTTTCTACGACTTCCGACCTTTTCAAAAACAGCCCCCAGGAGTCTAAAATAAATCCAGAGTACATGAATTTTACATTTTTAGTTAAACGCTCATTACAGTAACTTAATTTCATCACAATGCCTGCCCAACAGTTTGATTGCTTGTTTCCAGGTATAAATATTTTTGAAGATTGTATGCATCAATTTTAATGGTTTTGGTCATGTCCCTCCATCTTCTGGGAGGCAGAGGCCATGAAATTAAAATTTTCTTTCCCTTTATCTATTGATACTATATACATGTATCAAAATCGGTTAAATTGGTTCAATCATTACAGAGAAGATGAAAATATCCTAAGGAGACTGACCAAGGCACCACAGACGACGAACAACGCACGACCATGGATAACAACAGTTACATATCGGACACACTCAGGTGACCCAATAAAATAGACCCCCACCCTTTAACAAAAGAAAGAAAGAACATTGCCAACAGGTTGTTTTGAACTTGTCCCTATAAATTAACTCGACCGTTAACAGGTTTATCCTGTCCTTTACCGACATATAACACATGAAATATGACATATAAAATCTGATTTTATATTTGTTATTTTACAACAAAATTAAGAATGACTCAATATAGCATCTGCTCATTAATATTTCTGACAATTATTGCAATTTAAATATATCTACAGTGCATAAATACTGAAAGTATAGTAACAAACAATATTGTACAGCCACATATGCCTGTAAAGCAATGGCCTACACCAAAAAAGGCTATGTCTTTGACAATTAAGGAAAACAGCGATTAGATAAACACACCCAACCTAGATAATTAAAAGATTAAAATCAGTACCCTGTTTCTACACAAGATATTGAACAAACAGCATGTTTTTACCTTTATGTATAATAAACAAATAAATATATTATAAGATTAATCCCAGATTTTTCAAAACTTTTTAATATTTCATGTAGTGGAAATAATAGTCATACAAATATCAACAAAGCATGGTCTGAAATGAAGCATTTAATCAATAATAAATATATCTTGAAAACTTTTTTTCACTGGCAAGGTCATAGTCTGTACATCACTAGATTTAAAGCTTCATTAACAATTTCAAAATCTCTGTTTCTGGAAATTTCTATTCATCATAATCAAATTTTCAAAACCCTACAGAGAAGTGAAAGATTTTGTTTAAATCTACATGTACATGCAGTGTTATTTCTTTTATCATTATTTCAAACCAAAACTTTGTTAAAATAAAGATGATTTTTTTTAATTTATTGTCACAACAATTTGCAAACCTCATAGTATTTTTTTGTAATATTGAAACTAAAATCATTTTAATGGAAGACATAATCTATGGATTTACATGAACTTACAAATATTTTTGAGTTTAATACCTAATCTTTTAGACAGACAGGTGTACAAAACTTACAAAACATATTATTGAAACAAAGTTTATACTTAACTTTTGTGTTATACTGTAATTTGTTTTGTAATTTAATGCCCCTGGATACATTCTTACAATTGTGATATGATGGAAATATATAAATATATTGTTTTTCATGAATCATGACATTGAACTTGGTTTGAAATAAGTTGTACAGATTAATTTCTTAACAATATGAGTAAACTTACTTTATTAAAAATCTATCCCCACCCTTATTTTTACACGTATAATTATCCCTCACACAATTATTATCAAGACCACAAAGATAAGAAAATTAACTCAACATTAAATTGGTAAACGAATATGAATACTTCTACAAAGAATTTTTAATACATAAAATTTTTAACATTTTTACACAACTGTACTTCAAAAAAGCAAAACATTTCACTAACCATAAATTAATACACTCTTACATTGATCTTAAACAATTTACATAAAATCAGTTTTACAAACAGGTAATTCAAATACAAATATTCTAAATATTTGTAATAAAATTCTGGGAAAAATGCATGTAACAAAAATGAATTTTATTCAATTTTATACAATTCTATCCTTACGCTATACCAATAAACATGTAATTGCATTGTGTTCCCTATTTTCTGTACAACTGATACCATAGAATTCCATATGTGTATAACATCTGACCTGTGTACTAGCATTACTGTATTCCAACTAAGTGATTGTATAAGTTAGCTAACTACAGTCCAGGAAAGGTCCATATTACACAATGTTGCTAACTTTGGAAATGTTTGCTTAATTTAGCTCTTTACTAACAACTATTGACATTAAATGGCACACATTTTTATACAATTTCATACCACTGATCAATTTGGCAAAAAATGTAATTTTTGGTTGTGGAAAATCTATTTTTTCATTAATTTTTTCCAATGGCACATTCACTAGAAACAAGACGACTTAGAAATAATGTAAGATTTTGAGCTGTCAAATTCAGCAATCGTCAAATTTTGCAGTGTTGATGAATTTTGGACCTTAACTGTACCGACTAAGCTAAATAGATTGTCAAACTAAAAAAAGAGAAAAAAAGAGAGAGGATTTTACACCTGGCAGAGCTATAATCTCCATATCACAACATACTCTTCTTTGCCAACTGTTATGCATCAACTAATATACCTTTGATTTAAAATAAGCTTTAAAATAAAATTGAATAACATCAGTATATACATGTACATGAATATGACTTCAGTCTCATGAAATCTTCCAAACACCTTAATCTCATGCAAGCCCACACTGATAGCATTCAATAGCACATGGCACCACTGTCATCTTTGTTCAACTGAAAATCACCTTTGGTTGAAAAGACTTTCAAGAAGTGTTCACTCAAAATTAAATTCATAAAAAGCTAAAACAAACTACTCCTGTCCATCACAAGAAAGGGTTTGTTGAACCACTCTTTGGGGCCATTGACTGAGCAGCTGTAGACTGGAAAAAAAGCATGACACTTCGATGATATCATGGCATCCAGGTACAACTTAGATATATTTGAATAGTGTCACTTGCTATCAACATATTGATATAAACTTTACATTACTTAAGGATCAATTGCAGGACATATATGGAAATACACTTTACATTACTTAGGGATCAATTGCAGGACATACCAAAAATGGATTGACTGACTGTGCATTTGTGGCTACAGGCTGGCCTCCCCATCCTGATGGAAACCCATGGGTCCCTCCCATTTTATTATCAAACTGTCCAGGCATTGAATTTCCAAACTGATTTGGTATTGTCTGGGCTTGTGAAACAGTCCCAAATCCACCACTTGTACTTGATGGTCCCATAGAACTGAAGACTCCATTCTGATTATGAAATTGATTTGACATTCCTGCACCTCCAAAACCTCCTCCTGGCTGCCCAAAATTACCAGCTGATGGGTTTTGTCCAAACCCCCCTGGTGTAGGAGCATGTCCAAAACCTCCAGCTGTTGAGGTCTGTCCAAAACCTCCCATGTTAAAAGTACCAGGATTTGAAGCTGGTTGTCCAAATCCTCTAGCCACTGATGTTTGGGCACCAAATCCTCCAACTGCTGATGTGGGTGTTCCATACCCTCCTGCCATGGAAGTGTGTGTCCCAAATCCTGCTGCACTGGTTGGTTGATTTCCAAATCCCCCTGAATGTTGACCAAATCCTGCATTAGGTTGGTTGCCAAACAATGATGAATGACCTCCACCTGCACTTCCTCCAAATGGATTGCTAACATTAGATTGGGTTGCAGCTGTTGTCTCTCCAAATGGATTGGCTCCTGTTTAAATATACATAATAATATTTAAAGTGTCAATCCAAAAAACCTCAACCCTTTCTATTCTTAAAAAGTAACAAAATGTCTGTAATGAAACCATAGCTCTACTGGTTTAAATTTTCAATCAAAGAAGAGAAAAGTTGAATCTGAACTTTCAAACCTTTCGTGTTTACACTTATAAAATAATGTACAAGTTTCTTTATGTTTTTCAAACTAGTACCAAGATTTATTGAAGTCAGATCAAAATGTAGGAGGAGTAACATTTTGAAAGAATGTCACAAATTAATCTTTTTTTAGAAACGTGTGTTTCAAGCAAGGCCTTGACCATCATGAACTCTTTTGTCTTGGACATCTTTGAGAAATCGCTGTTGTGTCCTCCTGTCTACCTCAATACAACTAGCAAATATCAATACAGAGAATTGTGTGATCTACCTGTTAACCAAGATTTATTGAAATTGGACAAAAACTTTTGGAAGTGTAGCATTTTGAAGGAATTTCAAAAGACTTTTATAAGTAACCCTTTCCATACAGTTCAAATGAAATCAAAAACTCTTTGAAAAAAGTATCTACCCTTGTGAAGTCTACTTGTGTACCATGTTGTGTTTGAAATTAGACCAAAACTTTATGAGAAGTAATCTTTTTAAAAAAAATACTTTCACATAGATTGCCATATTTGGTAAACCAATGCAGCAACATTCATCCCAATCTTTAACTCTGTACACGTAATTAAGAATTGTGGTGTACTCTACTTTTTTTGAAACAATTTCTGTTGAAATTAGATACAATTAAAGCAGAATTTTGAAGAATATCACAGAAGTGTCCATTTTTTGCAACCAATGCAACACTGTTCAACAAAATCAAAAACTGATTAATAGAATTGTGTTGTCTTCTTTTATGTACCACTTTTACTCGTTCAAACTCAATCAAGTCCATTTTTCAGGTTTTTTTTTTTTTTTTTTTAATTTCCTCTTAAATGACATCAAATCAAACCTGTAGGAGGTGTAGCATTTTCTAAAAAACAATTTACAGACAAACAGACACACAGATTGGTGACAGACACCTTATCATTGCATAAGCTCTTCTGGTCTTGCACCATCAGAGCTAAAATTAAGAATTTATCATCATATGATAGAAACCCACAGAGGCTACAGTGTATTCATTGTGTCAATTCAAGCTCATTTTCTGCTGCCTCTGTTACTAACAAAGGAGAGGTGTAAGCAGAATTCTAGTTAAAGGCTATTATACAATGTAGTTTTTTGATAAACATGCTATAACAAAAAGAGAATATTAGCATTAATATGTTTATTCTAGTTATAAGGCATTTAAATACTGCATTGATGATAATGAACAGTAGTATATCATGCCAGATTATCTTTATTAGTGGTTTCTAATATTTTAACCAGGCTTTTCTCTCTAAACCTAAAACTACAAGGAGTATGTGTATAGCTCATACTGACTTAGATTTTGCATCTGTGTACAAGATGTGTACTTTATTTCATAAATTTTTATTTAAGTTTTAATAATTTCAAATTGATGCCAAATAAAAGTGAAAGATTTAGTAAGACTTTTTTTTTCAAAATAATGCCCACCTTTCTTCATTGTTGAGGACACAATGTTCATTACTGCAATTCATTCAAAATCAGTTTTTAAATCAGCTAGCACAAAAATGACATCAAAAAATTATTTAAATCTCACTTTAAAGCAACAATGATTGACTAAATCAAATTTATCTTTTAGATATCTTTTCTCTGAAACACAAAGAAGCACACAGATACATGTACATATGCAAACTTAATCTGAATTTTGTTTTTCTTAAACTTACTGAAACAAATCTCATTCCAGATGAATATCAATAGAACGATTCTTTGAACAATCAAATGCATGACCTGCAGCCTACCTGATCAACATTTATCTAATAATGCATAAGCTGAAGCCTATCATACATGTGATATGTACCGGCTGTACGCAGAATGTACAGTTTTTCGAGCCCATTCATCGTGTACCGGCGGGACACCAAAATTCACGGAATATGAAAATTTGTACAGTATTTTGAATTTCTCGCTAAATGCTGCCATTTTCCTCATTCTCGCTCACGAGACACTGGAAAACGTCACCTGTGTTTGACACTTGACCTTCTGATAATTGTGTAGTGTACACAAACCATCGCGTGCGAAGGTGTGAACTGCCAATTGGGATAATTATCTTGCTATAAATCTGTATCAAATACCCCTTTAGGTAGCTTTATTTTTTAAGGGGTACTTAATTACTGTTAATGTTTCGTATATGTAACTTGATTGAAAAAAATTAAGCCAACTTCTAAGGTTGATATACATGACTTAATATACGTGAATCTGACCCAGATCTTCGTAGGTATAAAAGATACGATGTTTATTACAATGATTACGATGGAATTTCAGAAGAATTTAAGTGATATTTTATACCATTTTTTGTACCATTTTTTGATAGGCAGTGTACAGTTTTTTCACCCAAATTTCAGTTTTTTTATGGCTCCTGTACAGTTTTGTGGTCTTTGACTTATCACATGTATGGCCTATGCCATTCTTAACAACAATGAAGTAACTTCAAACAAATAATGTCAACTAACACAGCTGAAACACAGCCATAAATGCCTTGATTAACTGAATTTTTCAATGCAACATTCAACAGTAAAAGTTTCAGAAAAAATCAGGACATGCTAAATTACCCCCAGAGTCTGAGAAGAATGGGTTCCCACGTCTACCCAGCTGGCTATATGAATAAGCACTGGGCGGAATAGAGAAGGCTGTAATAGAGCATCAGATATATATAATACTCTCTGAATAATAATCATGTACCCAGATAATTTCTCTGTTTCTCTTTCAATAAAGAGAGGTAATCAAAAATTACAAAGTTCCCCTTGAGAATGTTATTCAAGTCTCATGAAAATAAATGTTCTGTATCAAAATTCTATAAATGTACCTATAGTTAATGATAAAAGGCTTTTTATCAAGAAATTAAAATAAATGTCACTTGCAGCATTATGAGAAAAAATATTAAAATATATCTTTAGATGCATCATTCACGCAAGTCTGGTCCAGGCAGGACGTATAATGACCTGATAGTGGCCTGCTCCAAAAACTTCTGTCATTCTGCCTCATTCAGAAAATCTACAGGTACATGTAGACTGATGCAACATCCAAAGCAAGTCTTATAATTTTGCAACCCCACCCCCCTACCACACATCATTAATGCAAGTCTGTTCCAGATGAGGCTTATAATTATGGCACTTGGGAATGGACCTCAAAAGAATCCATCCTCTTCATGCAACAGGATAATATAGATCAGATGCAGAATCCTTTAGCAAGTCTGGTAGTTTGCATTTCTACAGGCAGCATCCATGCAAATTTGGTCAAATAAAGGCTTATAGGTTCTTGGAAATAGATCTTTCCAAAAAATTAAACTGTTCACTCATCCACAAAATATACTTCAGATGCATCTAAGCAAGTCTGGAAGTGTGTATCCCTTTACAGCTTCTTTGGGATGAACCTCCTCCAAAAACTTTTTAACCTAGGAGGCCAATGCAGAGCGTATTGCATTAGTTATTTCAGCTTAAATGCTCATTTCTTATGGTCTGGGTAAATCAAAGACAGGATTTAGAGTCTACTGTTTCTTAGTCATCTTTTTCAGTACTTAATTATATCTTATGGTAATCCTGATTTAAAACTTTCAGATTTTCATCAGTATTACATGTCATACAATTGAAATTAATAAGTATGGATCATTCTCAAAACAGCATGACACTTGCAATTAATGTGCACAATGATAGTCAATTGCAAGAGTCGTAATGTTTTCAGAATGACAAATTGTATGTTACCAAAATTAAAAAAAAAATCAGGTGTTCCATATCAGTAAAAAAAAAGCTGTACATATTTAACAAAATGCTGGGTTTTTTTCTCTGAATATCAAATTTTATAGAATTTAAATTATTCATTCCACAAACCTGAACTTGATGGTGCCATAGAACTAGTACTGCCGCAGGAAGTGTTCCAGTTCATGGTGGTTCCCATGGTGCTGCTGGATCCTCCACTGTTCCAGTTCACACCAGTACCACTACCACCCCCACTGTTCCAGTCAATCCCCCCTGAATTGCTGCTTCCTCCTCCCCCACCCCAGGATATCCCAGATACAGAGGTGGAGCCACCCCAGCTTAGGGCTGTTGTGTTGGACTCTGTTGTGGTAGGAGCGCTGAACAAGTCTCCTAGATCTGAGTATTTGTTTCCCCCTGATGCTGATGATTCGCTACCAGCAGGTGCCGCTGGAGGGGCCTGGGCTGGGGAAAAACTGGGAAATCCCCCATTCACAGCTGGGGCAGCACTGATTGGTGTATTGGACATTGGAAATAGTGTGTTTGTATCTGTAAATTCATCATAAGAAATCATCAATATTACACGTGAAAAAGAAAAACCAAAAAAAAAAAAAAAAAGGGGATATATGCATTTCCAAAATAAATATATTTTCTATTATTAAGAACCATTTAATTCAGTTGATACTTGCATGATCAGATAGTTTTTATTATAAAAACATATGAGGTCCATAAAATGAAATCACAAAGAATTACATGTATATTGGCACAGCTAAAACAACTTAATATAGAATACATGTATTAAAATAAAATATCACCATTTAATTTTTCATGTTTTTTGTTCTATTAAATATATTAACATGAAATTTCATAGGAAACTGCAATCTAGCAATTTAAGGCATGCATGAAAGGAATGATGAAATGTGGAGGGAATAAAAACTCAAAAACAAATTACAGCATCATAACAAATGTATTATCTCTATTTATGTATGATCATCTGTTCTAAATAATTTATGTACACACATACAATACTAAGGCGTAACAATTTATCAGTTTTTAAGCCCTGCATACTGAAATATTTCAGTTATATTTTTTATACCAGTTAATGAATGTTAAATATAATTTTTATATATCTGAATTGTTGTCTGTGATATTCATTTGCTAAGCAAGTTTAATTAAATCTTGTTGGAGAGCATTTAATAAGTGCAATAAAACAGTAGCAAAAATGTTCACATTCTTTACAAAGTTTTGCGAGTGTAGAAGTGTTCATCCATCAATAACAATGTACATTGGCCTATTGCCAACTTTACAAACTGTTCGTATAAGCCTTCTCATTTTTAAATATGTTTATATATTATGTATTTAACTTTGTTCACCAATTCTGACCCAAACCTTGTCTCTGAGGCCACACTTTGACCAAACTTGAATCTACGACTTACTTTTCAAAATGAATGAAATGTGAAAACTTATCTACATTTGACCATAGAGTGTCTAAAAGAAAGTGTCAAAATCTATGTATCACTCTGTGCAATGACATGACAATGAGGGGGAAGGAACTTACTGCTGGAACTCTGGAATGCTGGGAAGGGTTGAGAAGCAGGTTGTGCAGAGAACTGGCTAAAATCAGCAAAACCCCCTGAAATAGTACAGTTATAGCATAGATAGTCTACTTTTAAACTACATGAATTTAAGTCTAAGTTCTTTTCTTTCCATTTCAATCATGTTTTTTGATTCCTCTGGAACTGTCTTTTCTCTCTAATGGATATGATCACTTGCAAAACTTAGCACCTTTCTTCATCATTATTTTATGTCTAATTTTATTCATCATTATATTATGTCTAATTATGCTGAATATTGGGTAATTTTGATGCTTCAAATGCACAAAATACTGTGAAGTAGATTTGTCAGGGTGACACAAATACCCTCACTGACATCCAAGTTTAAAATATATAAAAGTTCAAGAGTAAGAAAAGAAAAAGGGGTGGAAATGGCACAAAAATAAAATATAACACCGCTGCTTTTGTTTTCTGGAGCAGTTGTCTAGACCACAACGTACATAAACTGGTGATTACTTACAAGCAAATTAATACAAAAGATCTAAAAACAGTGAATAACTTTAAATTTTGAAAGTCTAAGGCACTGCCACAACTTTTGTAAAAATTGCTTGATTAATATGAATGTATCTGATCTTAAGTCATCAATACAAAGACAAACCTAGGATCATTATGGATCTACAAGCACAGCAAAAAAAATTGCTGAAAACAATATGAATAAGAAATTTTCAAAGTCTAAGGGCCATAACTTTCGTAAAAATAGGTCAATCATCATGAAATTCAAATTTGATCTGCAAGTCATCAGTGTCGAAACTGAAAAGATATACCAAAAAAACTCAGGATCTACATACAGCAAAAAAAAAAAGTTCAGAAAACATGAATTATTAGATATTTACACAGTCTCATGGAAACTAATTATGATGGAATGATGGACAGAAAGGGTAAACACTATACGCCCCCGGCCATTTCATGGTGGAGGCATAAAAATAATCTTTCACACAATACCTTTCTTTGGAAAATGCAAATAAAAATCTTATTCATTGTCCTTTATATTCAATATTGAACCTTTTTTAACATGTATAAACATCTCATATGTGATAAGGTAGTATAATTATGTATCAGCTTTAAAGCAATAAACACTTGTGAGGATAAATCAGGAACCTTATGAATATTTACTGAAATGAAAGTAAAGCTAGTTTTACAGTGCATCTACTTGCAGTGTTTGATTTACATGTTTGTGGGAAACAAAGCTACAGTTGGTCTTCTTATTGTAGAGTATAAAACCTTTATTAAGTTATTAAGAATCCTGTAACCACTGTAATGGAACAAACCTTCACCACCACCACCTGTAGCCACTTTTGGGGCTGGCGGGGCCGACGATGCAAAAGGGTCTCCTCCCAAATCTCCTAATAGGTCCATAGTGGTAGATCCTGAGGACTGGGAGGACTGATTTTGTTGTCCTGGGGAGGAGAAACTCTGCGATGCTGGGGGCTGGGACACAGGAGGGGGCTGCTGGGCTGCTTGATTCTTTGGTGTTGTCTGGGGTGACTGTGAAAGAAATATTTATAAATACAATAAATTAGTTGTACAGTTTTTTTTTTGGGGGGGGGGGGGGAGGGGGGGGGGCTGTTCTTTAATTTAAATCTGCTACAGTGAATGAAAACAATTTAAACAAGTCTATTTGAAATATTCAGCTATTAAAGATTTTGAATGATGACCTTAATAATAATAATAATACCTTCCTATTACTTATAAAGATACATTTCCAGAACTTATTTGGAAACGATGATGTGGCTTTCAGCAATGAATCCTTGTTTTATTAATAAAAGGATATGATAGGTAAATTCAAACCTAACAATACTAAACTCATTAAAACAAAATTACTTAAACTATATTCCTTTGAAGTCATTTTAGGTCACTGACTGATGTTAGTTTCAATCCATTGTTTATTATCACTGTACATGTATTTATTTAACAATGACAATATTGTGTAATCTTAGTACCCAGATAGCCTTTAAACTTACTACATCCTGTGCTTTGTTTACATAACCTTTCTGATGTTTATTTAACTTTGATAACATTGTCAACAAATCGTAAATACACAGTATCTACCATAAACAATTAAATTAGCATTTAGCATGGTTTACACAATATTTTTATTACTTCTTTATGTCTTTGATACCATGAATTCCATTTTCTAAACAAGACAGTATTATACTCAAAATTAACATGGAGACAAACCAGTAGGTCTCCATAAAATTTTACTCTGAAATAAGATTCATACATCCTGTTGATGTTTATTACAGTTGTAAACTTTGCAATACAATATTTCTATATCAAGTACATGTCATAATTGACTGGAACATAACTTTTGTCATACTTGAAACTTTAAAGTCATGAATACATCAGCTCACATGTCACAATATACTAAACTATGAGTCAGAGGATATTACTTCTTTTTAATACCTTTACAATAGAAACTTCCTGTTATATTACCTGATTTTGAACCACAAGCTTTGGAGTTTTGTCCCCTAGAATTGTCTTCAGTGGCCGTGTTGGTACCTGTCGGTTTGTAGCGGACTCATTTACTTGTCTGGCTTCCTCTTTCATGGCTTCTGTCGGAGCTTGGTACCACCGCTTCCTCTCGTACTTCTGAGCCATGAAATCTTTGATTTTCTGTTCGTCTCTGGAGTCGGGTTCTGCTTGGTCTTTCTGACTGTCATATAATCCTAGCCAAACTTTTCTACAAAACTGCATATGATACACAATAAGTCATAAAACTCTGTGTTTGATCTGCAGATTTTATGGAATGAACAAGATTACACCAGTCAAATATCATATAATTCATTATACACACAATAATACTGTTAAATGTTTACAAGAGTATTTAATTATAATCTTTAATTCATGAAAAAACATTTTGGAAAAAAATAAAACTAACTTCATTTCCATGACATTTAATGAAATCAATTTCCTCTGGGGTAAAACTGGCCATAGATATTGATTTCACCCTGTGTGGTGGATTTATTCCTCGTCTGAAAAAAAGAAATTAAAACCAATACAACCAGAAAAGTGACCAGTCAACAAGGGCCCTGCAGATGGATATACATGTACATCTAAGGGTGCAGTTAACAGGATGAATTCGATAAAAAAATATAAAGGAAGTTTTAAATATATATGAAGAGGAATGTGAAACAGCAGCTGTAATTATGAAATTTTAAGATATTCCCTAACCAATGAATGAGGTTATAATCCAGCTACCTATAGGTAATTAAAAATATCCTTGTCAATTTACAAAAAGCAGTAAAAATATATTCATGTCTTGTAAAAATAATGTCCCAATTAAATGTTTGTTAGAACCAAAGGGAAGTAAGCAATTTATAAAATGCCAATAAATAATTGTACAGGTCTCTCATATTTTTATTCTTGTCTACAATATGAATACTTTCATCAGTGACAAAATCAGTAACTGACAACCATATAAGGAGGTTTAATCCCAAGGGAATATGCAGTCTTCAGGGTCAGGAAGTCTTGGGGCAAATGATATCATTTTCAATTTGCAGCAATCAGTATGATACATAGACATTTTCACGAGTGTGAAGCACGAGTGAAAATATCAAAAAATCCTGTCTCACGAGTGAAATAAATTCCATATTCATTTACAAAACATTGAATTTTCTGTTTATTGGATTTTCTTTGATTTTCCCTTTGCCCCTGTCTTTTCTTAACACACTGTCATAAGCTTGACGTCATAGTTGAGCGGTTGAGACGTCATAGCTTAGCAGTTGTGAGATTGAAAACATTACATAGCATGGATTTTAGCAACATATTTGGGAAGAAATTGGCAGTTTTAGCTCTATTAAGATGGTAAGTTACTATCTCTATCTTATGACAGGCCAGAAATTATTCTTTTTACTTACTTTGATATCCTTTCACACTGTGAGAGAATATCATTTTGGTATCCTTTCACACTGTGAGAGAATATCACTTTTATTCAATAAATAAAGCACAGTATTCCACTGTTGAAAATGTAATAAAATAAAATAATTCATATCTACAAAGACTACAAAAGAGCCCATAATTTATCTGAGTTCAACACAGCTTTGAGGTCTTTGGTTTAATTCCCGCTGTCGTTCTCTACCTTATACACTTGAAAATGCTGTACTGGGGAAATTCGGGCTAGTGTTGAAAATGAGTTTTGGGAGCAGTTTCTCTTCATGATTTAATCCGATTTGTTACTATCGATTATTCGATATGTGAAAGAAATATAATGATGAAAACTGCCTCTTAGTGATGTAACAAGAAAGTTACAGTCAAATTGAAGAAGGGTTTTAGTGCATAGTTAATTTGAATACAAATGTATATATAGATCACTTACAGTATTCCGCTGCATGCTGTACATACAAATGACCCTATTGTCATGTCCAAATATGTAGGCCCTCTCTGATGGCAATCGAAACATTGTCTGTTGTGTGGTAAAGCCGCCATATCCCGTAACATTTTGAGGTGTTTCTCATCTTGCTTTCGTTTAGTCGCCATTTTAGAGGAAGATGTCAAATAACCGGAAGTTGCATTTAAATTGGCGATGGGCAGTAACTCTTACGAATATTACTCGGGTATAAAAAATTTCATAAATATACACGTATATAGTAATTAACATTATTGACACTCATTCTTGTATCCTTGCTTATATGTCATTTTGTTGTGTTCATTTGTATTCATATTACCCACCTTGAGTCTTTATATCAAATAAAAATTTGAAACTTGAAACAAAAAAAAAATTTGAATTTGCACTACTCGATGGTGCTCAATGGAAAAAAAGACTTTAAAAGCAGTAAGATTGGCATCTGCATGAGCAGAGACCTAGTTATTGCATAAGATATGCTTTTTGATCTTAACTGAAGTTAATATTAATACCCATTCTTATCAAAATTCCTGTTCTTCACGGTTATGAACCTTCAACTTGTTTAAATAATCTTAATATATTAAAAGTTACTCATATTTTATAAAAAATGAAAATATTTCTGTAATTACAATGGTCATGATGTCTCATGCTTATTTCAAATTAATTACCCAATTTAATCTGCATGCTAATCAAAAATGACCTTGACCCTAAACCTTTGACTAACAATTGAAAGTGTTTATTTTATTTTATAAGCAAATTACTAATAATATACATTTTCATGGCATAAAAGGCTTTTAAATACTTTTTTTTAGTCTACAATAAGAGTGACTTTGACCTTTGGCTTTGAAAATTAATAGGAATCATTCTCATGACAGACAAGATTTAAAAAAAAAAAACACCAACTATTCTACAGACACTTTCAAATAAAAATACAATTTACAGAACACCATGTTAAACCTTAATGACACCTTTATTGTTCTGCTGCAACAGAATGAACAGAATTTACAACAACAGTTTCTCTATTGCACAATGCATGCATGTTTCAACTCCAAAGCCTTAATTCCTCAGGAATATCTTCAGATCTCTTTTATTACCCAACAGTAAGACTTTATTATATTGACAACATTAAAAACTGTTTTCCAAAACATTATCAACATTTCTAGAACAGGTTACTCCACATGACAATTCTAGAAATTGGCTGAAATTATCTGATTCCCAAGTCTAATCATGGACCGGAACACTTTTGACTTCAAAGAACAGTTGATAGTTTAGGGAAAGCATTCTGCTTGCTGACCACTAACTTCTGGTGCTGATGGGAAATGTAGCCTTTGATTTTGTTCTGTAAAGCAAAGGATAGTTGTCTCAATTATATGAGGGAGCTAGCCAAGTGATATTCAAAGTGAATTATGAAAGAAATTTCAGCACTTGTATTCTTGCACAGTATGGCAATAAGCAAACCCTTACCTCATATATCAGATTGGCAATTATACATGCTGTCTCATCATTGTCAATATCATCAACCTGAATGTTTTTAAAAGAACAAGCCCATGTTTAATAGTCTCTTTAACATACTTTCATATATGTTTACAATTAAATTAACCTAAATCTTGCTAGATACATATAAATAATTCCTTGTTTTATTACAATACCACATCAAATTTAATTCATATTATATAGCATTGTCGCAAGCCACGGTTTTGTGTCCATTCTATTTCCACAAACCCGTGGCTGTCTCCGTCAAATTTCTCTCGTTCTCATAAATATTAATAACATACATTCAACCAATGGAATAACATCTGACGCTTCAAGTCAGAACCAATGAAAATGATCAGTCTATCTTTTATTTGGATGTAATCATAACCACGAGCTGTACATCAACTTCGGTTCGAATTTCCTCTCTTAACGAGTAACGCTATTCAGCGTTCTCACACAACGTCTACATTCGAAACCCTGTATTTTAATGTAAAACCTTGTAAGTATTTTAGAATATATGTTCTTCAGGATCTATCGTATTTTTTTCAATAAATCTGCCACGCATAGCAAACATGATTTCATTATGGGCGCCACCATTTAAGCGTACCAAAAATTGTTACAGAGTGATTTCATTGGTCAAGGTAAATCTGGCGTCACTTAATAAATATTCAATGATTCAGTCGCGAGAACGAGAGAATTTGGTAGGAGGCAGCCACGGGTTTGTGGAAATAGAATGAACACAATACCTGTGGTTTGCGACGATGATTATATAGTAATTAAAGAATTTGTAAAATGATTGCAGTTACCTTCATCATTCTCAGTGCTGTAGTAAATGCATCAATGGGGAGCTGATGGGTATTCAGTATGAGATAACTGAAAATAAGTTTACATAGTTACGTGTAAGTCATAAAATTTGTTGATAAATCATTCAATTTACAAATTTGAAACCTTTTTCATTTCCAAAGGACAAAAAGTTTTAATATACAGGAAATGTGACATACACTTTCTTAAAGAGGTTGCGATATGTGATGATCTTGAGTTTCTCTAAGATGAGATAGATGCCACATTTGATGAAGAATGCTTCATTTTTCTCTAAAGCATTATTTAGTGAGAGAAGATTTCCTGAACTGAAAATGGAAAACAAAATAAAGCATATACTAGTACTTCATACATGCATTTAATGCAAACACAAAACTGAACATTTATACATGTACAAGTCTTCCAATGCCACAAAATTAGTGTGAACTGTATGAATCTTTAATTCATACAAAATAGTTTTATAATCAAGAAAATATAAATCAAAGAATTAACACATAGTCAAATGTATCAACTTTTTTGGTGAAGTACTATAAATTACCTAACAGCTTGTGCAACTTCTGCAAACTGTAACAGATCATATTTCTTCAACACTCTCTGCGACGGCATGTATCCCTATAAGTGATTTTAATCATTAAGTACTAGTACAGGTATCCCTGTAAGTGATTTTAATCATTAAGTACTAGTACAGGTATCCCTGTAAGTGATTTTATTCATTAAGTACTAGTACAGGTATCCCTGTAAGTGATTTCAATCATTAAGTACTAGTACATGTATCTCTGTAAGTGATTTTAATCTTAAGTACTAGTACATGTATTTGACATTCTGGGTCATGAAATAAAAAAGAATAATTTTTCTTTCATTTCAAGCATTGCAATGATATTGAAATGGAGTACATGTACTTGAAAATGACTTTGAGATATTTTATGTAAATACAGTATATACACTTTATCAAATGAAAACCAAACATGCATTAAGCAGTTCTATGATATACATCATCCATACTTACTAACAGCATTTTAACAGGAAGGAGATATATAAGGGTCATTCTTTTGTTCTTTCTACTCAATCTGTGACATCTTGTAAAGGCAAATGTGAGGAATTCATCAGCTGTATATACAAAGAAATGGAAAATGTCAACAGAGTCCAAAAAGATGAAAGCAGAATGCTTATATCAAAGATATATGTACAGTCAATGTATGTGTACATTCATTCCTTTATAAATTATTGTTTGTTATAATGAAGCAAATGGCTAAATGACACGAACCACTTTTGAAGTCACTGTCAAACATAGCTTTTCTCCCAACATAATATCTGTAATGAAGAAAATCATGCTTACATGTAGAAAGATTTAAAGAGTTTATACTACAATTAAGAACAAAGGTTGTTTTTTTTTAAATACATGTAGGTTCTCAGTCATATTCTACTGAAAAGCAATGTCTTTGAATACATCTTCCCTCTTCTTCACAAAAACTGACACAAGTTATGGTAATGTCCTTGTAACATCATTAGAATGTAAAAAGTTGTTCTTGAATTATTAAATAAAAACACTTTTTTAAAGTCTTTTTTACCATTCATGATTAAGAAGACACACTGCATAACTTCATTCATGGGGAAAGAACATAGGGGAATAAGACAAGAAAAATGCCCATGGTTGGTCAAATAAGGACAAGATAAACTCAAATTCAATCATCATGGAATTTTCTTTGATACACTTGTAGATCAGTTAACTTTGATACATATTAACAATCATTGCAATATATGCCACAAAAGTTGGTATTACTATTAAAAGTAATCAAATATATAATACATGTGTCTACTGTTTAGACTGTGACATCTTCACACAAGAGTAGGCAAAATTGATCATTTCTATGCATTCAAAAAAAAAATTTTTCCTTATCAGTAAGTCCTCGCTCCATTTTAGTGAAACATGTCTTCCAAAGAATTTGAGTTATATTCTACATTTTTATGTTAACTCAAATCATGGAGCAAATTAGATCAAATCTTCAGGGATTTTCTAAGCATTAGTCTCCCATGTTCTTATAGTTTCATAGAAAGTTATTATCATGAGTTTCTGATACACATGTACTAGTATGTTAACCTGTAAGTGACTTGTTGGGCAAGAGGGAATCTGTCCTTCAATGGTAGACTGTCAATAGCACGGATCAAGGGTTTACAGAGGTGTAACTTATTTATCTACAAAGGAAGCACATGCATAAATAAGGAAAAAAAAATATCTCCAGATTTCTTTATCATATCACATACACACAATGCAAAGCTTCTACCTACCTTGAAGTAAACTTTAAACAGCTGATTAACAATATTCAACATTCCCCATTTCTTTGTGTCCTCAACAGAAGCTCGACTGAAAAAATGTAAGTTCAATTAATTTTCACCTGATTACATGTAACTTTCAAACTTATACTATTAGATTTCAAATCAATTTCTTTTCCTCATTTAGAAATTTATGTTGAAAACTCTCACTTGTCTGCAGCACAGACCCTGAAGCAGCCCATCAGAAGCTCTGCGGCCTTCTCTAGTCTTTCTCCGGCCTTACCCCTACCTTTTTTCTGTGCCTGTGCATCAGCCTATCAACAATGCACCATTAAAGTAATGGATATCAAGTAGTCAAAATTGTACAAGTAGGATAAACCTGATATTATTGTGCCAAGCAAATTTGTAAACTTGTGCATTTACAACAGCACACATACATTATGCTTGTAAGTTTTCATCAACACTTTGAACATGTAAGTTATTTATCATATTTTAATGATAATTAAATAAGCTGGAATATTGACTAAGTTTTGTACATCACAGAGTTGTGAAATACTACAAACTTACTGAATTAGCAAATAACCTCAGATCCAGACATACAGCAAACATGATAGGTAATGACCAGTTCTCATCTTTTTGGCTTTGAAAAAACTTGGTAAAAGCTCTACACTGAAGTTAAGGCACAGAAGTATAGAACACTAGATTTTAATGAACATAATCTTCATTAGATTATTTCATAAAGGACATAGACAAGTTACTAAAAGGATATTGGACAACAACTGCCTGGCATCCATAAGCTTCTATAAAATCATGGTTACCTACTGCCCAACAGCATCTAAAAAACAATAACAATTCAGCAGATTTGAAAGCCAATACTACATTCTGTTTTAAGAAGTATAAATAAAGATATCAACACCTACTACTGTTTAATACATGTATACTTTAAAATTTCGCACATATTAATCAATTTGAATGATTGGTGTATCTATGATTACACAATTGCTACACTATTCTACCACTGCCCACTGACAACAATAGAAGAGACTTACCTAATGTGAGCAGCTACAAGTTCATCTAATGGAGTATCAAACACCCTCTGTACCGCTGACTCTGGTCTTTCCAGCTGAAGTCTGGGGTTGGCAACATGTGGATGCTCAAAGCACAACAAATCCTATAAAAATAACCATAAACTATTAAACTGTCATATTTTAAGCATGTTACGTTGCTTAACATACTTTTGTCAAAACTGTTGGGTGAAATTAAAATCCAGTTGTAATTTAATGTAATTTGACCTCTTGACCTCGGAGTTTGACCTACTTTTTCAAAATCTTACCAAACTCTAACCTTGGCAATAACTTCTGAAGGGTTGGTACTAGGGCCTTTTATATTTCACATGCATATTCCATGTGACCAGTCCTTTCTTTGGGTGCAAACAAGTTTTACCTTTTCACTTTGACCTTTGAGTTTGAAGTACTTTTAAAAACTTTAACCTTGGCCATAACTTTAGTGCTAGTGCTTTCATCTATCAAACGTGTATTCCTTATGACAAGACCTTTCTTTGGGTACCAACATTTTGATCTCCTGAGCTTGACCTTTGACCTACATTTACAGTATAGAAAACATAACATTGCTTATTACGGTACTTTCAAACAGTTGGTGCTACCACTCTCATATTTCACTTATTTAATCCTTGTGATAAAACATTTCCTGTTGCACCAATATTTTTGACCTCAGGACCTTGACCTTAGAGTATGACCTACCTTAATTTCTGCCATATTTTCTAAATAGTTGGTGCTAGGGCTTTCATATTTCACATGTTTATTCCTTGTGTACCAACATTTTTGAACTTTTGACCTTGACAATGGAGTTTGACCTACATTTGGAAAACTTTAACCTTAGCCTTAAGCTGCCACATAGGGGCTTCAGTGTTTCACAAAAACATATCCTTCTTTTATATTCTTCTTTTATAGCACAGTGAAATGTTTAAAAATCCCTATTGATTTTTAAAAATTCTAACTTTTAACATGTTTAATAATATTCAATAAATTCAAATCTTCAAAGTTTATTTCATTGAGTATTTTTCACAAAAAAAAATCATTTCAACTTGGATAGATTTTAATACTATTGTTAAAAAAGGATGTCTTAAATGGTAGATTTTATCTTCAAATGAGTATTTTAATACATACACAGTGATCGGGAAAGCCATGAAAGTCAATGGGACTATGGCGCAACTGTCAACATTTTTAACAGGCCATTTTGAAAATGAATGGTCCATTTATATATTCTGAAGGGCCATTAAGAAATAATAAAATGACAAGCAACTGTGTAATACAAAGAAAAACATGTTTTTTATTAACCAAATCTATCTTTTTATGTATTCAGTGAAGCACATTTGAAGGAACCAGCATACAGAGTGATGTATTGTACCTTCAATATAGGAAGCAGTTTTTGAAATTGATATGTTTTAACCAATGAGATTTTTTGTATTAAAATGAATGCCTTGAAAACCAAAGTAAAACAATAAGAAAGTCGTACACAAAATATTTTCAACTAACATCACTAAAAATTGAATGCACACCTTGGCGCCAACAATGGTTGAGTTTATGCACCAATTTTCACTTCAATGTGACAATGGCGCATGGCGCAAGCCCTTCCCAATCACTGCATACATACAGAAATATTGCTGAATTATTACCAATAATTAAAAATACTCCAAAACATTAGCTGTATATCAGAGTACAAAAACTCCTGCTTTCTTCCCTAAGTCAAGGAAAAAACATCAAGAGGACAACATTGCAATTCTGCCTCTTTTGCTCTGTCTTATATTGAAATGTCTTCTTCATGTTTTTTCTCACTTATATTGTTGCAATTATGCTCTTGGACCCTCAATGTTTTGTCTTACAGCCTATACAGGTGAACACGTGGAGAAGCAAGTGATCCATAGATATTAGCTACAAATGTATTCGAAATTTAAGAAAGGTACATGGGTAAGACTTTTTTTTAAGAATACAGTGAGAATTAATGTACCTTGTTTCACTTAAATGTACATCAAATAATATACAAATACTTACACCAGCTTTCAGGCCATCTTTATCTTGAATAGCATCATCCACCTATGATGAAATACAATGTACAGATACAGATATTATTTATACAAGTTCATTAGCAAAACAATTCTGTCTGACCATCTAATATTTGGAAAAATGCAGGGGTATAGACAAATAGAATTTCACAGTCCTTCAACAGGTTACAATAGTATTGTAAAATTTCTTTTTTCACCAAAAATATGCCTGTACCACCTGTTTGGAATAACACAAAAATCACCACTGAGTGCGACATTCATTTCTCAATTGTCTGGGACACAGAGACTTATGGAAGCCCATTTAGGACGTATCAAAAAATATTTTTGAATTCGATATAAGGAACTGTCGAATTTGTTATTACGAATTTAATTCGTTATAACAATTTCCTTGAATTCGTTATAACAAATTTAATCTGTTATAACAAATTTATTGAATTCGTTATAACGAATTCAAAAATTTGTTATAACAAATTAAATTCGTTTAAACGAATTCTAAAATTTGTTATAACAAATTAAATTCGTTTAAAAGAATTCTAAAATTTGTTATAACAAATTAAATTTCATTTAAACAAATTCTAAAATTTGTTATAACGAAATAAATTTGTTTAATCAAATTCAACAATCGGGTCCCATAGAAAAATATATACATGTATGAATTCGATATAACGATTTGTTGAATTCATTTTAACGAATTTATTTGTTATAACAAATTAAGGAATTCATTTTAACAAATTTAATTCGTTATAACAGGTTTTTGAATTCGTTATTACAAATTTAATTCACTATAACATATTTTTGAATTCGTTATAACGAATTCAACAAATTTGTTTCAACAGATTGAATTTGTTATAAAGAATTCAAAGAAATTGTAATAACGAATTATATTCATTATAACAAATTCGACAATTCCTTATATCGAATTCAAAAATATCTTTTGATAGGTCCTAAATGGGCTTCCTAGAGAAACTAACCTAGACCCAGTTCCTTGTACAGATATATTTTTTACAATAAAGAATCTCGGTTATAATGAACAAAAGTTTGAAGTCCAAAAGACTTCCTTATAACAGGTCTGGTGCAATCACTACATTTGCTATGTTACTTAAATTTGGGTACCCCTTAAATTCCCTACATAGCTTTATTTAGCTACTAAAATTATTAGAGTTATTTTTAAACTTGACTTTAAAAAAAAATCACACTTGGGTGGAGTGATAGTTTTCAACTTTGAACTGTTCTGAAAACAATGCACGAAAAAATTGCTTTTCAATTTTTTAGGTCCACTACTATTTTTATTGTATATAAATGACCTTCCTTTATGTGTTAATCACTGTAATATTGATATGTTTGCAGATGATACAACTCTACATTTATCTGACAGCAATGTACATAATATTGAAACATATTTAAATTATGATCATGATGATTTATGCAAAATTGAAAATTGGTGTATACAGAACCAAATGATTTTGAACATGAACAAATCAAAATCTATGCTTATGTGTACACAACAAAAGAGGTCAAAGTTAGATATTCCAGAACTTCATACAGAAATTTCTGGAGAAAAACTGGAAAATGTTGAAGTTGAAAAACTCTTAGGTGTTCAGATAGATCAAACTCTTCAGTTTAATTATCATGTAGATACAGTTTGTAAATCCTTATCATACAAGTTATTTACACTTCATAAAATTAAGAAATTTCTTCCATTAAGTACCAGAAAACTTTTCTATAATGCATACATTTTGCCTTCAATAAACTATTGTCTTACTGTTTGGGGTAATGCATCTAAAACTAACATTGAAAGAGTCCTTAAACTTCAGAAACAGGCTGCTAGAATTATTCTTGATGCAGCACCTGACGAACCATCAAAACCATTGTTTGAAAAACTGGGATGGCTAAATGTGTTTGAATTAGTCACGTTACATAAGTGTATTTTATTGTACAAAATTTTTTATGGTATATGAGTCCTGAATACCTCCAGGACCTTTTTGTTTTTCATAGCCATGATTCATATTCCCTGCGTTCAGAATTAAATTATTATCTTCGTTTACCAAAACATTGAACAATTCTGTTTACAAATTCGATTCAATATTCAGGTGTACATTTATGGAATAACCTACCATTAAATGTAAAATTGTCACCATCTTAACATATTTTTAGAAGAAATGTGGAAAAAATTATTATTAGCCAACGTCTGTAAATATATGTTTATATATTTCCTTTGTACATGTTGTATGATTATTACTATTGTTTTTAAACTATGTCTCCTGAACTATAAATATTGACTTATTTATTTTGAGCGTATATTTCATTAAGTTGAACATTACATTTAATTATTCATGAATTAATGAACTTATCATTACATGTTTTATCTTTGATTGTCTCATTTTATGTAATATGTTGTTTGTTATTTAGAAGGCCCTGGGGAAGAATAGTACCTTGTACTAATCGGGTTACCTTCTCTAAATAAAGCATTATTATTATTATTATATTATTACTTTACACACCAGGAGCAAGCTATTATTAAACATCTACTTGGAAGCTCCACCACAGGAGTCAAAGAAGTTTTATCAATAAAAAAATGTAAACAACAACCAGTTAGCTTTGTGAACTAAGTGAAGCTCACTGGTTGTCTGTGGATTAAGAACCCTTTCAACAATGCACAGAATGAAGAGCATTCTTTATAATATATAATTCTGATAATTTATGCAGTTAGAATAATCTGCCCTTTGATTAAATAAATTAAAATCTGCAGGGTATTACTTCATCAATTCAAGCACTATTCACATTTAAATAGGTCAAGATAAATAGATTGAACACCCTGTTTGCATGTATTTTCCCCCCTTTAAGTAAACAACAATGACTTCTGTTCCTCTCTAGCGGCAAGTGGTAAATCTAGTCTTCCCGACTCCCGACTCCTGGATTTTGGTTTTTTGGCAATTTCTTTTTTATCGGTGCAAAGAAATTCTTCAAACTTTTCAGGCACATTTTATAAGTTTGAATGAATTCATTAATACATAAAAACCTTAACAAATTTACGTATTTAATACTGAATCAGCAGTATCACCTGCCAAAAAGTGGTAAATCTAGTACTCTGTTATAAATGCGAAAACCAAAGACGGACATCGATATATTAAACAGCTGTTAGAGATAATCAAAAATATATATATATATATATATTGATATTAACTGGGAAGATATTTTTTTCTCAAAAAGATGGATTTAGTATTTCAGTGAATGCGGGAATAATTGCATGGTGTTATCAATTAAAAAAAAATTAATTCTATAATAATCCAGAACATCAAGTGGTTTTAAAGTCAGATTCCTTAAGACATTTTTAATCATAGAAAATTTATTTAATACAATTATCACTTCAGTAACTAAAGCTATATTTAAGCAGTGTCAGCTTGGGTAAAAATAATTAAATATCTAATCATCTGATACAGTTCAAAGTGAAGAGATATACAGTCCAAGCTATAGTAACTTTGTTGTGTCAGGGTATACCGATGCTAGATGATTCATAAATCTTTTTTTTTTTTTAAATCTATTGCATTTCATTAAGGTAAACATATAATTAAAAAAGCAAATGTAATTCCAAAAGAAGTGGCTAAGATGAAATATAAAATATGATATTTTAATTAGGTTGAAAATTATAGAATATTACATAAAAAATGTTCTAGATAACAAATTTCTTCCGAAAGAAAGCTTTTGAATTTAGAAAGAAACGATTGTATAATTAACTATAATTTTAAAAAAAGGAAAAACTTAAAATAAATAAATAAAAAGTTAATTCACATTGGAAAGAAAAAGAAGAAAAAAAATTAAATAAAAAAAGGAGGGTTGGGGCTCTGAGGTAGAACCACGCCCATGTCGTAGAGCCTGGGAACACAAGCATGTTGAGGCAAAGAGTTCAACAAGAAAAAAAAACCCGGAAAATTTAGTTTTTTGTGCATGCAAATTAACTGGCATGTAAATGAGGTTTTCCTCTTATTTCTTTAAAAATCTATACTTCAATTTGTTGTATTTAATCGCGATTCTACGAAAACATCGATGTCCGTCTTTGGTTTTCGCATTTATAACAGAGTACTAGATTTACCGCTTTTTGGCAGGTGATATTCCCGATCCAGTATTAAATAAGTAAATTTATAAAGGTTTTTTATGTATTAATGAATTCATTTAAACTTAGAAAATGTGCATGAAAAGTTTGAAGAATTTATGTGCATCAATAAAAAAGAAATTGCCAAAAAACCAAAATCCGGGACCGTCGGGAGTCGGGCGTCGGGAAGATTAGATTTACCGCTTGCCCTCTCTAGCTGTTTTTATATTAAATTCTAACAAAATATGAGTATAGTATACTCACGTTCTGGAGATAAGTATTCAAGGACCATTGTGCCATTTTCACCTTATTTCTAATATTTACATGAAAGTGAGAATCAACCAAATTTTTCAGAAAAATATTCAAACATCGTGACCTGCTACTTTCACATTAACAGGAAGTTATGAAAGGGGCACAGAATTTAGACAATTTAATCAAAAGATCTTTCGATACAGAATGACTATTTAAAATAATAAACGCAAATTAAAATATGTGGAATTTAACAAGGGTTCTATTGATTTATATAAAAGGTAATTTATTCATTACATTATTTGAATTTTTGTACAAACAGGGTGCATTCATCCCCGTCCGTTTATTATACTTCAGGTTTTCATCTAAATGAAATGTCTAAGTATCAGTAAAACTTCTCTTTACTTTGAATAAAGTCCAAGCATTTTCGTTTGCTACTCATTTTATCGATTGACTTATGAATACATGAATACTTATGAATTGGTTTGAATTTTTTATGTCGCTTGCAAATTTACCGTTGTAATATCTTAATTATAATTTTAAAGGTCGATTTCAATGAATGACTGTATGGTTTTATATTTCTAGTCTTTGACCAAAGACTAAAATATAAAACCATAACGCTACAGTTCTGCAGACAGAAAATTGTATATCTTTTAACAAGACTTCGCAAGGCAATGATTTGATAATGTATT